AGAAGATATTTACAAATTATATGAGTGATAAGGGGTTACTTTCCAAACTATATAAACAGCTCATACAATTCAACATCAAAAAAACCCAAACACTCCAATTTAAAAATAGGTAAATGACCTGAATTTTTTTCTAAAGATGACGTACAGATGGCCAACAGGCACATGAAAAGATATTCAACATCATAAGTCCTCAGAGAAATGAAAATCAAAACGACAATGAGATATCACCTCACAGCTTCAGAATGGCTATCATCAAGAAGAACACAAATAACAGAATATATATATGTCTATCTGAGTCACTTTGCTGTACAGAAGAAATTAATGCAACATTGTAAACCAGCTATATTTCAGTAAAAGTTTAAAAATAATAATAAAATAATAAAGAAAGTATTTAAAAAAAACATAATAATAAGAGAATGGCGAGAATGGCAAGAAAACAGACTCCACATACACTGTTGGTGGGAATGTTTCCTATGGAAAACAGTATGGAGGTTTCTCAAAAAACCAAAACTACCATATGACCCAGCAGTTTCACTCCTGGATATTTATTTAAAAAACAACAAAAAAGAAAGCACTAATTTTTAAAGATACGTGCATCCAGTGTTCACAGCAGTATTATTTACAATTGCCAAGATATGGAAGCAACCTAAGTTTCCATCAAGAGATGAGTGCATGAAGAAGATGTGGTATATTTACTAAAAAGAAACGGACTCACATATACAGAGGACAGAGTAGTGATTATCAGTGGGGACAGGGATGTCGGGAGTCACAAAATAGTTGTAGGAGAATAAGAGGTACAAAGTACTATGTATAAAATAAGCTGCAAGGATATATAGTCCAACACAGGGAATATAGGCAATATTTTATAGTAACTGTAAATGGAATATAACTTTTTAGAAGTTGTAAATCACTGTGTTGTACATTTGAAACTTATATAATATTGTATATCAACTGTATCCCAATAAAAATTTTTTTTTAAATAATTGAGTTTTGGAAAACACTTCTAGAGTCTACTACTTGCATGCCTTTTATCAGGTAGCCTTTTTATATGTTCATTACATAAATGGGAAAATGAGAGCACTACTTACATACAAGGACAACTCAAAAAAGACTTATCTAAGTTTAATGGTCACTTTTAAGATTATTATGGAAAAATGAAAATAATCTCTATATTTTACTAACCCATAGGCAAAAATACTGAATATCCATAAGTTTATTAGGTTGGATTTTCTTGTGTTTACTAGCATCATAATTGGAGAGAGAAGTTAACTACAAGGCCAAATAGGATATTATGAATTATTTTATTATAGTTATTTCTTTTACCATGGGCCGTTTAGAGAATATATGGCATGATTTCCCAACCTATGTATTGTAATTCTTTAGTCTTTTGTATAGACATTGGTGAAAAATAGTGACTTAGATTTCATATATATATACACACACACACACACACACACACACACATATACATACACACATGCACGTAAATAGAAGTGCCTCCCACAGTTTTGCTTATTTAATAAATGCTTATATTTCTTTATAACTTAAAAGGTAAATTAATTTTCTTTTCAACCTTCTTTCACAGTAAGGGCTATTTGGTATTTTTTGATTATTTAGGGAAATAAGTACCTTGAATAGGTGCCTCTCTTTGAAGTTACAAGTTCTATTCTGCTTTTAATAAGCATCATAATTGATGTTCAGCAAATGAAATGTTATAGTAAAATATAAAATTTTTAGAGAAGAAGTAATGGGTTTAGGATTAAGACTGTTATCTTTATACCTTCCCTCAGTTCAGTTCAGTTCAGTCACTCAGTCATGTCTGAGTCTTTGCGACGCCATGAATCGCAGCAGACCAGGCCTCCCTGTCCATCACCAACTCCCGGAGTTTACCCAAACTCATTTCCATCGAGTCGGTGATGCCATCCAGCCATCTCATCCTCCGTCATCCCCTTCTCCTCCTGCCCCCAATCCCTCCCAGCATCAGGGTCTTTTCCAATGAGTCAACCTTTCGCATGAGGTAGCCAAAGTATTGGAGTTTCAGCTTCAGCATCAGTCCTTACAATGAACACCCAGGACTGATCTCCTTTAGGATGGACTGGTTGGATCTCCTTGCAATCCAAGGGTCTCTCAAGAGTCTTCAACACCACACTTCAAAAGCATCAATTCTTCGGCACTCAGCTTTCTTCACAGCCCAACGCTCACATCCATACATGATCACTGGAAAAACCATAGCCTTGACTAGACAGACCTTTGTTGACAAAGTAATGTCTCTGCTTTTTAATATGCTATCTAGGGTGGTCGTAACTTCCCTTCCAAGGAGTAAGCGTCTTTTAATTTCATGGCTGCAATCACCACCTGCAGTGATTTTGGAGCCCCAAAAAATAAAGTCTGACACTGTTTCCAATGTCTCCCCATCTATTTCCCATGAAGTGATGGACCAGATGCCATGATCTTAGTTTTCTGAATGTTGAGCTTTAAGCTAACTTTTTCACTCTCCTCTTTCAC